ATAATGGCCGACCACATGTTGCAAGAGTCACAATAGACTTCTTTCAACATAATGATGTCACATTGTTACCATGGCCACCAAGATCTCCCAACTTATCCTCAATTGAGCACGTGAGGGATATGATGGGCAGGAGATTGCTCAATTTGCAACGTCCTCCTCAGACTCTAGAAGCACTTCGAGAGGAGTTGGTGGTTGTCTGAAATGAGATACCACAGGAGGACATTGACCACCTGATCAGAAGCATGCCTAGGCGCGTTGGAGAATGCGTAGCACATCAGGGTGCATCCGCACATTATTAAAGGTCAAAGGGCTTTAAAGCAGTGCAATCATTTTGAAATTTTTATCATTTACTTATTATGCTTCATTAAGTACTTATACAAAATTTTATTAAAATAAAACCATTTAAGCTGGGTGTTCGGATTTATATGTCACTTAGTATATGTATAAATAAATTCTAGATAAAAAACTTGTCTCTGTATGTTCTCAGGTCCCTAATAGCCCACGGTTTTGTACATTTTTCTATTAGTTTTACTGTTAATTGATTGGTCTTCAACTAGGGATCGACCGATATATCGGCTACGGCGCCTAATTTTGCCGATATATGAAACACCCGATAGGTCTGCCCTTATGTGGATATATCTTACTCCCTACGCCTCTGGCTTGAAGGTATTGTAATCGCAAAAAATTCCAAAAATATCATGTTTTTTGAATATTATATGACGTATACTTTACGAAAAATATGACTCATTTCTGTCAGTCTGTTTATTCGCTAATTTTGGCGCGTCTATAACTTGGAAAGTACTGCGCGGGGTTTCATGAAATAATGTCACAAGGGTACCGCTATGTCAAGGACAAGATAGCTTTGCAGTTTTTGAAAATCGGTTCAGTAGTGGCGGAGCTAGGTATAAAAACACAAATTCGTTTTTAACGTTCTAGAGGCCCCCGATCACTTTCAGAATATCTTCTACAGGGGTCCAAAATTTGATGATAGGAGCTATAGGGGTGGGGAAGAGTATATGTAAATTTTTCTAAGCGTTTTCAGCCCAAGTAATTCTATGCACCAGAGACGTTTCATAAATTAATCATTTTCTCGTAGATTTGCCCTTTAAAGTTGAATCATATATATACAGGGTGTTCCATAATTATTGCGACAAAATGATAGGGGTTGTAGAGGGCATCAAAATGAACAATTTTTCCTTATAAACCCCTGTTCGGAAATATGCCGTTTGGGCTGCAGCAAAAAAAAAGATCAGTTTCTTGAAACAGCTTACCTACAGTAATTGCTCAAAGTATCCTCCACCTTGCTCAATACACAGCTGTGCACGATTGTTCAATGATCCGCGAACTCTGTGGCATACCCCCAGTATGTCCTGAACATGTGCGGACGCGGCCATCACTCTTCCCAGTAGCTCTTGTTGGTTGGGAACAGGAGTTTCGTACACTAAATCTTTCAGATAGCCCCAGAGAAAATAATCAAGTGGGGTCAGGTCGGGTGACCGCCCAGGCCAGGGCACAGGGCCACCTCGGCCTATCCACCTATTTGGAAGTTTGTCGTCCAAATACTGCCGCACTTGTAAAGAAAAGTGGGCTGGACCGACATGGTGTTCAAACCACATGTTGGCTCTTATATTCAGTGGCACATTTTCTTATAGTTCCGGTAGCACATGCTGTAAGGATCGACCATAAGCATGCCCATCCAAACGTGGTGGAAGCAGATATGGCCCGATGATATGCTCGTCCACAATGCCGCACCAGATGTTAATTGAAAACTGATGTTGGTCTCTATGGATGGCTATGGCATGAGGGTTTTCTTCATCCCAAATGTGACTGTTACGGCTATTAAAATAACCGTCCTTTGTAAAACAGGACTCGTCAGTGAACAAAACGTAGCGACCAAAGTTTGGTTGCCTCAACTCCTGCTGCAGCCACCAACGACAAAAACGTCGACGCGGCAGATAGTCTGCTGGACCCATGGCTTGGACTTTTAAAAGGTGGTACGGGTGTACGATAACAAAAATGTAAACACAGCAGGCTTTTTTTACAAACCGGCGAGACCATGAAATGTGCTAGACGAACATTTTGCAGCTGGTGAATTTTTTGTTTCTCCTATGAGCTCTTAAGGTAAAATTAACTGTAGTGCTCAAACAGCATATTTACGAACAGGGGTTTATAAGGCAAAATTGCATATTTTTATGCCCTCTACAACCCCTATCATTTTGTCGCAATAATTATGGAACACCCTGTATATATATATATATATATCGACAGCTCAACGAGCGCGCGCCTCCCTGCTTTGGATGACTATTATGGATGTATCGAAGAAAGACACTAAACCAAAAAAAAAATGAGGTGATAATAAAACTTACCGCAACAGCTATACAGAGAATTACCTGCAACTGCCTATCCATTCTCTAAACAGCAGATCATAATAGAATAAAATATTGAAACAGTTCCTTTTTCAAAAATATTTACAAAGCCTATATTCAATAGTTTTGTTTAGACGCCAAGGTAAACAAAATATGTTTTAAAATACTTTGGGCATTGAGTTTTTATTACTTTTCAGAAGGACGGTTTACGATATATGTTATTACTAAAGTGTTACGACTATCTACTAGATTATAATTTTATTGCATTTCCCCATCATCACAGATATAACCATTCTTCTACGGAAAATTGCAATGGATTGCGTATTATTTCATATTTGTTATAATAGACATGACTTCATCAACTGATTATTTCTTTACACGACATAGTAACTAAATAACTCATAGTAATTGCAGGATACGAAGTGTCTTATATTATTATTTTGGGCTTGTTAAATTTAAAGCCAACGAATTTTGTGCAAAAACTTTTGAGACATACGTTACTAGCGGGCACTTATAAAGAACATATTCACCCTAGTGCTTGTAGTTTTCAAGTTATTGTAAGATATCCAACTTGATATATATTTCTTCTATAAAAATGACCCCAATTTTATTTTTCACTAGATATATTTTGGCACTGTTCAAATTCATTTAGAACCATCCCGAGGAAAGGTAATAATAATATGTTGTCAATCTATATCACGACTTTTATATGAGAAGTCATAGCTAGTTTGACGGAAAAAGAAATCCCTTAACCCTAAGGAATACTCGGAGAAGTAACAACGCTTATGCCTTAAGACGATGGATGACAAGTACATCTATATGGGCCCCTTCCCACTTCAGTTGGCCCAACTATTGAAATCTTAGTTTTTTTCTTATCAAACACAAATAATAAAAATGTAGCAGGGTGTTATAGCTTTAAAATATTAACAATGAATATTTTAATAATATATAGTAGAAATCACCAACTTTATCACTCCCTAATCAAATTTGCAGCATAAAAATAACACGTTACAATTACAGCATATCAATCTATCTTCATTTCAATGCAAAATAAGTCTATAACGCATAGGTGGCTGTGAAAAATAAAAGTCATGACAATTGTTTTTATTAATCACAGCTGTCAGAATACGTTTAAAGTAGTTTTGGGTAGTTAAGGTTTCCAAAATGGGTAGAGGAAAGGTTATTAGTGAGAAAATTCGGTTAATGATAGTTAAATTTTTTAATTCTGGGAAATCAAACTCAGAAATTGCAACTTTGTTAGACTTACCGCGGTACAGTGTGAGAAATATTGTTAAAAGATAAAACGTAACTGGTTCAGTTAATATTAAGCCACGATATGTGAAAAAAAGTAATATCACAAATGCCGACCGAAGAGCATTAAGAAGAATAATCGTGAAAAACAGGCATGCCAATTATTTACAATTAAGTGCTCTGTGGAGTGACGTTGTTGGAAGGAGAATTTCGAGGTCCACAGCTCATACAGAGGCCCACAAACTATGATTTAGCACTTGCAAGGTAAGTTTTCTTATAAATAAAATGAAGTAAAAACCCTAAAGTTGCACAACTTGTTTATAGGCCAAAGAAAAGCCACTATTAACTCCACTGCAAAAGAAAAATCGGCTTAGATGGGCTAAAGAACATAGACAATGGATACCTCAACAATGGTGTGCAATACAATGGAGTGATGAGGCCCGATTCGAAGTTTGTGTTGGTGACAGTCGTGGTAGAGTTATTCGCAAAAAAATGAAGCATTCCATGTTGAATGTCTGAAGAGAAAAGAGAAATGTCCAGCATCCATTTTGGTCTGGGGCAGTATGTCAAAAAAAGGAGTAGGAAAACTTCATTTTATTGATGGAAATGTGGATACAAACAAATATTTGGCAATTTTAGAAGAATCGCTTTTACCAGTGATGGAAGAATGTTTGACATCCGGCCAAGATTTTGTGTTTCAGCAGCATGCCATACCTCAGAAAAGCTATAAAATGGATGGAAAAAAATAATGTACCACTTTTGAAATGGGTTTCTAGCAGTCCAGATCTGTCACCTATTGAAACTTTGTGGCACGAGATGAAAAAGGTTCTACGACAACATCCTGCTCGTACAATCACCGAACTGAGACAAAAGCTTTAAAAAATATGGAGTTGTTTTATACCAAATTTTTGCCAAAACTTGGTTAACACTATGCCCCAAAGAATTTCAGCCGTAATAAAAAATAAAGGTGATGTTACCCAATGGTAATCTTTCAATTGTTGCTTTGTCAACTTCGCGCATTTATTCGCACATTGTTTATTTGTTCAGATGTTCTATACGTATTAGTTATAGGTCTAAGTGAAATATGTATTTTTTACGACTAGAGTGTATCTAAAATGTTTTTGAGAAAATAAATTGTTTTAGAAGTAAATAGTTTCGTCATGTTTAGTTTATAAAGGCATATTTTGGTACAAATCTTGAAGTGGGCCAACTGAAGTGGACAGGAGATCGTAGTTAGTTATACTTGTAGTTCGTGTAAGTGATTGGTAACATCACACTACGGACGATTAATTTGACGCAGACACTGCTTTCAATTGGTAGTCGGATCTTTTCTCTCAAAAATATGCTTGACCGTAAACATACCCAACTAACAAAAACAGCAACTCCTTTTCATAAGAAGTCGAATTTTATTGAAAAAAATAAAAAACATTAACAAATAACAACTGCTACATTCGAAGTCAGTGACCAATAAGCTTCTTCGCAACGCACAATCCAATATCTTCCAGGATCTTCTTTCCTTGTGATTCTACCTCATCTACCTTCTGGCTAGCGCAGTCCTGGATCCTTGGTTTGATGTTTTCTACTAGGTCCACCACCTTGGACACAGCATCATGAAGATTCTTTGGGAGCTCTACGATTTCCTCTTCAACCTTGATCAGCAGCTTGGCAATGCATTTGATGGCTTTCCATCCATGTCCGCACTTCTTCACTTCAGCCTTGATTGTAGCAACATCGTCAGCGGCTTGCTTCACCTGCGACAGGATCATTACGTTCATGAAATATATAACATAGTATAAGAATGAATAGACTTTATTTTGAACCTAAGTACGAAAAGGCGATGTGCCGCTAAGAGTAATAACCACTTAATTAGCAACTCAAAATAATATAATCAATTACAAGAATTTCCAGCATTTTGTGTTCATCATCAGACCGTGGCCTATAGTGTGTTAATTTAAGCTTTTTTTTTATTAAATAGTGTGTAATTTTGGAACGTCACAATCAGATCATTATACAGGGTGGCGCATCGAAAACGAAACAGACGTAATTACTGGCAGCTCAGTTTTTTTTTTGGAAAAACTCTCAGACCCGTCGATTTTGTTTTCGAGGGAGACACAAGTTCGGCAAAAAATCACGTTAACATGTGCAGCCCCCTGGGCGGGGGTGACACCAACCCTAAAATCTTAAACGGAAAGGGGGGCCGAGTGATACCTTATTTTAAAGGTCTTTCAATTCCCTTTATAATGATATAAAAGTAATGTACTTCAGTTCAGTAGTTTTGAACATTTATTGATTTAAAGCTTAAATAAAACTAATACACCATCATTAGTGGAGATCAATACATTTGGCAGCAAAGTAATTTAAAAATGAAGAATGAACTGACCCGTTAGGCAATTAAATATTGAAAATGGCCACCATGACTCTCCATGCAATAATAAAGATTTTGCTCAAAACGTTGCCGCACATTTTGCAATATTTGAGGATTAATTTGAAGGCACACTTCATAATTCTTTGTCGCAGGTCTGCTAATGATGTTGGCTGAGTAGCATAGATTTTGCTTTTTAAATGACCCCACATAAAGAAATCCAAAGGTGATAAATCTGGCGATCTTGGAGGCCATTCAATGGCACCTCTTCTACCAATCCATCGATCTGGAAAGTCTGATCTAAATATTGTCGAACACGTAATGCGTAAATTGGTGGGGCACCATACTGTTGGAACATCAACCTATTCGCAATGTACCGCCGATCATTCTGATTTTCAATTATGGCTGTTAATGCAAGATCTATGGCGTCTTCCAGTAATTCCGAATACATTGATAAATTCTGGGATTAGAATCGGACCAATATCGGCGGTTATGACGATTTACTACGCCATTTAAGAAAAAGGAACATTCGTCGAGAAAGCAAGTGTTGAATAGAAAATGTTCATCGTTTATAATTCGTTCACTCATATCACAAAATTGTAATCGCCGATCAAAATCGTCTTCATTAAGTTCTTGGACCAGGTGAATGTTATACGGATGAAAACTAGGGGCCTTTAGAATCTGTTGGACAGTACGGATCTACATAAACTTGCCCTAAAACCCCCACTTCTATTGCTTTGTTCCTTATGGGATTTTCAAAGTTGCGTTTTTTATTGGTGACTGACAGTTTCCCGAAATTTAGCTACCAATTCTAGAACATATTTTCGATGCACGTTACTGTTCTCATGTCGTTCATTAAATATTTCTTATGTTCTATTAGCGCACTGATTATTTCCGAAAAATATTTCGATAATTTCAACTCTTTCTGCTGTGGAATATGCCATGGTTAATTTATGTAATAAAGCGTTACAAGTTATTTTAGCAACAAAGTTTGGTCAAATCAATCGCAAACTATGTACTAAATTCCTAGTTAAAATAAGTACGAGATATTTCCCTATCTCTCTCAATAGCTATTTTCAACAACAAAATGATAAACAAAGCATGGGCGTACTACTTTAAGCTTTAAATCAATAAATCTTCAAAACTACTGAACTGAAGCTCATGTATTTTGCATCACTATAAAGGGAATTGAAAGACCTTTAAAATGAGGTATCACTCGACCCCCCTTTCCATTTAAGATTTTAGGGTTGGTGTCACCCCCGCCCAGGGAGCTGCACGTGCTTACGTGATTTTTTGCCAAACTTGTGTCGCCCTCGAAAACAAAATCGACGGGTCTGAGCGTTTTAAAAAAAAAACTGAGCTGCCAATAAATGCGTCTGTTTCGTTTTCGATGCGCCACCCTGTATAATTTAATAGCGTTGTAACTAAATTATTTTTTATGTCTATTTCTGTTTCTTGTGTTCAGCTGATTTATGTCGCTACATGTAGACCACGAAAAACCATGTTTCTAATTTCTGTCAGTCTGTTTGTCTGTCTGTCCGTTATTCTTTGGCCCTTCTGTAACTCAGAAAGCGTCGTTTGGATTTTGATGAAATTTTGACGCAAAATTATTACTATGTTCATAAGCGAATATTGATCTAGTGGCGATAGAGCTATGAGTGAAAGACGAAAAAAATAGTAGTCGCTTAAACTTTGTTTTTGATGCTTTTGTGGCTTCTGCTCATTTAGGTGGGGTCGAATATGTGGGGGCAGGGGTTGTAAATATTTTATTTCTGATATCAGTCTAATGTATCATCGGAAGTTTATTTTTTGGGTTTTCATTATGATAATCCCCCATGTCTGTAGGGCCGAGTTAAACCACATAGAAGATTGATTTTAGAAACACTATGTGGCATGGAGAAAAGCTGTGGCACCTCATTACAACAATAATTGAATAGTATGAGTGTCTTATCCTCAATCACTAGCGTAGAAGCACACCAGGTACCACAGTTTCTGTTTAGTTCCTGTTTTAGCTTGGGCCGAAAACCCTGTGTGCTTATTGTTTATGACGTGCTTATTGAACGTCTAAAAAATTAATTCAGTCCCTACTTTTACCGGCTTCGTAGATACCTATACTTTTTTTTTCAATTTCGTAACTAAGACTTCATCACCATGTGTCTAGGTAGCGGATCATGTTTGGATCCATATCAAAAAGAACATTTTTGTTATTTGTAATGCACTTTCTACCCGAGAAATATTGGTACTTCTTTTTGAAACACCCTGTATAACTTTAAAAGTACTGCTATAGAGCTAAAAGCACCTAAAGGGTAGCTGATAATTACCTGATTTAGTCCAGTTTGGATGTATCCGATAGCCTCATTGACTCTATCAGTAGCGCCGTGGATCATGTCGTTGGATGCTACGTTAGGCAGGTCAATCAACTTCTTTTCGTTCTCACCAAGACATTCATCGATGTTTACACCTTTTGCTTTGGCTTTTTCTTTCAGAGCATCCAGCTGCTTCCTGAAGCTTTCTTCAGTGCTGCAAAAAATTTTACGTTATAATAATCTGCAGAGGAAGCCCAGATAGACATCCATGTCAATAAATTTTTAGGAACAGTAAGAAGATGCCCATATCAAAACCCATATTATACAATAGTTTTGTTGAACCACACCTTCGATATTTGATATCATGCTGGGGAATCATTTTAATTTCTTTACAAAACAATAAGTCTGATAAGCCTTAAAGAATTGGGGTCTTGAGCAAATAAAATGAATGTACAAAATTTATAATGTAACTATAAGATGTCACAGAACAACAACTACGATAAATCAAAATTTACTGATAAATGGAAAAATAAAAATGTGCAATTCCACATCGAAGAATTTACGCTTAGGAGAGGGGGAAATGTATTTAAAAACTTGAAATTGATAGACTGAAAGATATACATATAAAAAATAAAACAATATAGTTATAGCTTGTGATTGTAATAACTTATTATTGCAACAGGGTTAATTATGAACACATGGCTATACGCTTAGGGCATTGAGTAGTTCAAGAAATAATTCTTATAAATATGAGAGTGCACCAGTGGCATAGGAAGTGTGAAATGTTGAACCCCACAAAAATTAAGCGGAATTATTTAACACGCCACTGACTTTTTTGGAACTTCTATTCCATTGTTTTTTAATAGGCTATTAAATTTTACATGAATCGCATTTCATGTGAAATTATTCTCGGACTACTCCTTTTGGAGAAACATCAGTTGCAATATTTCAGGTAAAATCCATTTAAAAGACAAACAATGTACATTTTTTGTCCTTATTCAGTCTCATCAGTTGCGTAGAAATTTACAATTTACATGGGACATTTTAAAATCTATGTTCATAGAAACTTTTTTATTACTTTTGGGCTTACTTTCTCCGCTAAAAATCAGTCTGTAAATTTTTTACTCTATTATCTACACCTACTTGATTTTAGTTTTGCCGAATTTTTGAGATTTTCAAGGTCTGTCTGTTTTATCTTCCTTAGACTATACTAAATTAGGTTTAAGAATAATTTTGGTGATAAATATCATCAAACTTGGGCATCGTTAGCCTAAAATTGAAGATGCTAAGTTAAATGTATTATTATAGTTATTATTACTTTCAAATATAATACTTTGGTTTGTACCGGAGGTGATCGAATTTTCCGTATAATTCAAGTGAAAAATTACCTGTTCATGGCCTTCTTAGCTTGATCTTGTACCTGTGCAGCAAATGCGTCCACCTGAGCCTTGGCAGCATCAAGCTGTTTGTTGGCTTCAGCGACTTCCTCATCAACAATTTTTTGGAGTTTAGCCAGCGCATCGTCAATTTTGTCAGCTGACGCTAGATGGTGAGCCTGTAAAGGTTAAAGTAAGCAAAGGTTCAAATAGAAAGGAGTTACTACGTTCTCATTTTTGTCTCAAAACTTTCTACTTTAAACAGTGATACACGAAATTTGGTTAAAATAAATAAAATTCTGTAATTCGAATCGATTATTTTATTTAGGTGGGAGTAACGAACTCGTCCAAGTAGTTGAATGTTCAAATAGCTACAAATGCCCCCCCATAACGCCTTTGCAAAGTATAACTGCTTAGGGTTGTAGTAGGTCTTCACGGTAATAGTGCATTGAAGATGATACGACATCGCGCCGCTGTTTTGAATGATTTTTTGAAAATGTACCAACTGACAGTTTTTGCTAAAAGTATCGCTGCTGTGGCTACTACTGGCGAACACGATAGTTGTGAATTGACTAAACGACTAAATACAATTTTCAGAAAAATAGATGAAACAGGCTTATTTATTAAATCATGAACTGCGCCATAGAGTGAATACAGTCCACGAACAATTTTTTGTAGTGACACCATTACAGAAATCTCAAAAACTGAAACTACTTACCACAACGGCAATGAAGAAAATTAAGTGCAATTTCCCAAACATTTTTTAAATCACTTTAGTTTGTCACCTTACTAATGTTCTTTAAGAAAGATACAATGTGTATAGTGCCGCAATTTGTTGCTTATATAGATCTTGGAACAATTCATCAAGATTAAAGTTGTATAGGTGATTCCCTTTTTAAAAAATACGGGACTTTACAACGTTAATATCCCATATCTGTAAGTAGGCATCAAGATATCGTATTATGCGAAAACATTTTTAAAATGCTCATTGGCGTGAATAACCTGATAACAGTATACCAGAACATCTTCAATATGTGACTCATAAAATATTTTTATGCGAATATAGGTGCGTTTACGATCCACGAAGACCAACTTCCATGCTTCACATATAAATAATTATTTGATCAGAAAACTACATTGTACTTTATTGAGTTTAACACCATGCAGCTCAAAAGTTCGTCATAATAAGGGAAATGAACGGTAAGGGCATCTGGTTCAGGATAGCTGCAACACAGTGATCAGATACTAAGTATATTGCAACAAAATCAACACAAAATCTGCAGAAGTTGAAGTTCAAATAAGGCATTTTTTTATCGTTTGACTTACACTTAGAAAGCACTGTAGTTTTATGAAAGATTAAGGCAATCATTGTGTAGTATATTGAAAAAATAATATTAAAGTAGTAAGAAATAACTGCGGCTGAAAATAGTTAGTGGGTTGACGTGATGCGGTGAAATCTGCTGAAGATGGTTAAAGTCTACTATAAGATAAGCCGTGTATCGTTAAGAGTATGACTGAGTTGAAACGTGAAGTGAAATCCCGGCGGGTTAATCTAATAATAATAATAAACGGCTTTATTGGCGGAGTTTAGCACAGCTATTCTTACACTCAACCTTTCTAAAGACTAAAGCTTAATGCTAATTTGACATACAAACATGGTATTTTACATATACAGTAAACGAGTGTTTGTCTATGAATCAAACTAAAAAAAGAAAATAATGGTAATTGATCAAAGGGAATTTATTCATTGAACCTATGCTGAATTCCTAGAAGATGTTGTCTGAGATGCAGTTTGAAACGGACGTTATTAGTATTTGACATAGCGATACTCCTGCTATGGATGTTAAAGAGAGACACTGCGTTATACGTGAAAGATCTATAAAAGAGCTTTTTCCTCGCCTTGAAGTTAATAATGTACTTATTGGCATACAGTACTCGCAGTTTCAAATAACACCTCTGAGATATTGTTTTAATGTATTCTTGGTAACGTAACTTGTCATCTATGATCAAACCAAGTATCTTACAGCTAGTTGAAAAATAAAGTTGTTCATTCAAGAAGAGGGTCAGACCACTAATCAAGTTTTCTCGCTTGTCACCAGAACAGAACAGCACAAGTTTCGTTTTATCAGGATTTAGTTTCAAATTGTGTTCTTTACAATTGTCAGATACTGTTCGTAAGTCAGTGTTGATTAAATCATTTGCCTGTTCCACAAGAGATGGTTCAACATGAAACAGAAGCTGCGTGTCATAAGCATAAGATTGAATGTGAGAGTACTGTACGGATTTCAAGATAACAACTGTGTATACAGGGTGTTTCAGTTTATTGCTGCACAACTTTAAGATTCGATAGAACTTTTAAAATTAATGCATAAAGTCTATATAAACATGGGTCGAAAAATGCGTGGCTTCTGAAATACAGGGCGTTTAAATTTACTTTTTAAAATAGTTTTTTTTAAATATTTCGAACAGTATTTGATGTATAATAGTGAAAACTGGTATACAAGGGATTTTTGGTACGACAAAACGAACCATGGGCATAGATTTACTGTAGCCGCTAGAGGGCGCTCTCTACTGTACCTGTAGTGTATTAAAAAGACCGAAAATATTTTCTTAGTGCAATTTTTTGCTTTTTGAATAAAAAAACTGATTCTTCGCACTTTTCAACATAAAAAAGCTCTCTTGTGAATTTTCGTTATAGTTAGCCGTTTTTGAGATATATCGATTTTTAAGGTTCGATGCATTTTTAATTATTTATGATAAAATAACGTTAAAAAGTCAGTATCTCGATAATTTTTAGAAGCAGGCTGTGCCTGCAAATATTTTTGAAATTGAAAGCAGAATAAGGTTAAACGTCAATTAGTTGACAGTTAATTTTGTTGTCTGTTGAAACCTGAAACGTTTTTTTGCAATTGTGAATGCACGAAATTTAGTTTCTTTTACCTGTTTTTTTTTTTGTAAGTTTTATAAAAATGCCATTTTTATTCTCCAATCAAGAGTTAGCGGATATTTATTTTGTGTATGGCTTTGTAAATGGAAACGCAGCAAAAGCAGCCAGAGAATACGCACGAAGATTTCCAAACAGACGACATCCAACTCGCTCAGTATTTGTAAGAGTGCATCGCCAAATAATTGAAAATTGTTTTGGAAATCTCCAAAGGGATCAAAACATAAAAGTTCGTCAGCGCAGATTTACCCGTATGATTCTGCGTGAGTTTGATAGTGATCCGACCACAAGTGTTAGGAGAGTTTCTGGTGCCTTTAGAATTTCAGTAAGCCATGTTCACCGTGTTCTTAGAAATGACCATAGACGTCATTACCATTTGCAACCTGTGCAAGGACTACAGCCAAGGGACGGAGAACGAAGAATCACATTTTGTAAGTGGATTCTTGATAGAACTTATAATAATAGGGAGTTTTTAAGTAACATTTTATGGACCGATGAGTCATGCTTCACTAGACGTGGAGTGGTAAATTTTCATAATCAACATATTTAGGTCGCATGAAAATCCGCATGCAGTTCGGGAAAGAAATTTTCAGCATGAATTTAGTGTGAACGTGTGGATTGGTATCTAACGTAATCGACTATTTGGACCCTACCTTTTGCCTGCAAGGTTAAATGCTACGACCTTCTTGGAATTTTTAAAGGCTGAACATGCAAATATGCGGGATGATGTTATGTTAGATTTAAGAAGATTGGCCTGGTTCCAGCTTGATGGTTGTCCAGCTCATTATTCGAGAATGGTTAGAAACTGGCTGGACGAAGAAAGATGGATCGGCTGTGGAGGATCAGTCGCCTGGCCTCCACGATCCCCCGACCTAAATCCATTAGATTTCTTTGTGTGGGGATTTCTAAGAGAAAAAATGTACCAAACTCCCGTAACCACAAGAGATATGCTAATAGACAGAATCAGGAATGCATGTGATGAAATAAGGCCTTATTTGGATAATGCTATACCACGTTCGATCATTCGTAGATGTGAATTGTGTATTGAACAATTGGGTTTACATTTCGAGCAACTACTTTAGATTTTGTATGTTTGTCCTAACTATCCAATAGCATTTTAGTTGTAAATAATTTGTTAAAAATAATATTGGAAAATTAAACAAATTAATATTCTGTTTTTTTGTGTTTATTTGGAGTTAGGAATTATTGCTGTGTGAAAAAATACAATCTAAACGATCATCTTAATTACTTGTAATGCCCAAATCAAAAATGTAAAAAAAACTATTATTTTCCCATAGATAATTAAAAATGCATCGAACCTTAAAAATCGAAATATCTCAAAAACGGCTAACTATACCGAAAACTCCCAGGAGAGCTTTTTTATGTTGAAAAGTGCGAAGAATCAGTTTTTTTATTCAAAAAGCAAAAAGTTGCACTAAGAAAAATGTTTCGGTCATTTTAATACACTACAGGTACAGTAGAGAGCGCCCTCTAGCGGCTACAGTAAAACCGTGCCCATGGTTCGTTTTGACGTACCAAAAAACCATTGTATACCAATTTTCACTGTTATACATCAAATATTGTTCGAAATATTTAAAAAAAACTATTTTAGAAAATAAATTTAAACACCCTGTATTTCGGAAGCCACGCATTTTCCGACCCATGTTTATATAGACTTTATGTATTAATCTTAAAAGTTCTATCGAATCTTGAAGTTATGCAACAATAAACTGAAACACCCTGTATAATGAATAACGACGGTCCTAAAATAGAACCTTGAGGAACTCCTGATGATATTGTTGTTATCTCAGATCTTTTGTTATGTAGAATAACGCTTTGCTTACGAAGACTTAAGAACTGCAAAACGGGTTCAACGCTGTATGGTCAATGCCATAATGATACAGTTTTGCGCACATACGTGAATGGTCAATGATGTCAAAGACTTTTGAAAAATCCAAAGATTTAAGTAGGGTGGCAAGCCTCTTATCTAGCGATGAGAATCTTTTGATCTATTGAATACCGATTTAGCTGTACATTAACTATTTTCTCTAACAGTTTGGATGGAATGGATAGTAAAATAATAGGTCTCAAATGAGCAAGCTCAGTTGGAGCAGGGATCTTAGGTAAAGGGCATACTAGTCGAGGAAAATATCCTTTCTCTAAGCAACAGTTTATAATGTGTGTCAATGGATTTGATAACTCTGATATACAAAGCTTGAGCATACACAGGATTATGTCGCCAGGACAACATGCATTTGATCTTATCTTCGATATATGCTTTGGCCAACAAAGCTGAATGTCCAGCTGGAATCACTCATTTTTCTGGAGTAATATCTGGTAATAAGAGCATTAGATTCATTATTTTCAGGACCTGTTTATTTTATTAGGATCACTTAAGGATGGCGGAAGTGAAAAGGAAGAGGAATTATTTATACTCATGTTTTTCAGAGTTTTCCAAAATTGCCTATTATGTCTCTGAGAATGCAAGATATGCACGTTTTTTTGTTCTCATTGCCATCAATGCAAAGTTCCTCATCTCTTTGTACTGCCTAAGATGCTTTTCAATTCTATTCAAGTTAGTGTGTAGTGACCTGTCCTTCTCATTGAAAATCAGTTTATCTGTAAGCCAGGGAGCTGGCGGCCTGCTAACTCTGGCGGTAATTTTAGGAGCATGAATGTCGAACAATAATGTAACATAGTCAATAATCTTACTTTTTCATCGATATTTTGTACAGTATAGATATGATGCCAAGGAATGGAG